GAACCAAGAGAAGAGAAGCTGTCATTTACCTTGCTTTGAACACTAGAGTGCAGAGCCCCCCACCGAGAAGCGCTCTGTGTCTTTTTATCTGAGGCTGTGGAGACACTTCCTCCAACTTTTTACAGGGATATCTTGCTGGCTGCCTTAATGACATTCCCCTCCCTCCCCTCCTTTGGGGATTATCCTTCTCCTGCCCTCCTATTTCCTTACACCAAGGAGTATGTCCCTTGTTCTCCCCTTCCTTACCTTGATATTGGGATCCTTTTTTATACGGGGAAAAAAAACAAAACAAAGAAATATGGTCTTTTTTTTTTTCCTTCCTTTTTTTAATGTTTCTTCCTTTGATTGGCTTTGCCATTTGGGGATTTGGAAAAACCATTTGGAAGATAGACTTCTCTGCAGAATCTTACAGATTCTCCTTAGGTTACAGGGCCTACATAGTCAGTGGAGCCCCTCAACTGGTAAGAGAAGACAAGGCAGGCATTCAATTTGCTTCTTTGAATATGGAGTCTAAATGGCTTTTATTTTTATATTCATTGACCTTCCCCCAAACTGGGTCCTGTTATTACAAGAAAGATTTCTTGGTAGTTTTCTCTCTGGCTCTGTCCTTGGTTTCCCCTTGGAGCCAGGCCAGGATGTGTGGTGGTGGTCCAGCATGTGGAAGGGAGAAGAGGGGAGACAGCCAGGAATGACTCCGACCCCCATACCATCTCATACACTCCCAGGATCTTCCCATAGCCACTCAGGGAACGAAGAGACTTCTCTGTATTCCTCATAGTCTTGTCAAGGCAGAGAGCCTGGCTATTCAGTCACCTTTAGGGGATGGCAAAGGGCCTTTCCTCTTTCTCAAACAAAAAAGGTCACTGACCCTGGATTTTCCCTACGGAAGGAAGAAAAAGCTTAGGGAGAACAGGAGAGAAGTCAAAACGATCCAAAGTCTCATAGAAAGGCACTGGGGTTGGCTCGAGGATCCTTCTGATTCCGAAATCTCATTGCGAGCCAGACACCAAGGATCTGTAGAAGCAAAGGGAAAAAGATAAGCACCAATTCTTAATCTCTGGGACTGACTGACAGGTGTAGAGAAAGGGTGCATATGAGAGAACTGGAGAATGTTACCTCTGTAAAGCTGAAGAAGAGTCCAACACCCCCCAGGATTTTTAGGGCTTCGTCTGAATGTTTAAGAAACTTTTCTCCACACATCTGGCATGTGGGTCTCCGGCTCTTGCAGACCTAGGATAAAACGTGTGTGTGGAGGATGCATAGTTGCTAAGATGCCCTGTCCCGACACCTATGACAAATGACCCTAGAAATTTACTAGTTTTGATCAGTATCTTACAGATTGAAATCCCATTTAGCTAGTTCTCTATAGCTTTTGATCCATCCCCACTCTTAACACAGCAGCACACAGCCCCAATACTAGAGAGGCAATCCTATTCAAGCTAAAATCTACCATTTTAGGCACTGTCCTTCCCCAATTTTCCTACCCACCCTTCCCCGCCAACTCACTGCAGTGCAAAAGGCATAATCTTGTTGATACAGGGTTGTGAGGTTGAATAAGCCACAACAATCAAAACTTCTTTCCAGTTCATCCCGGGTCTGGTTGCTCATGACCCACCAAGAAGCATTGATGACATCTGCCTGGAGGATACATAGGCAGAGGGAAACTATTTGATGCTGCTAACCCGAAGAATCTCCCTACATTTTGATCTCAGTTCAAGTGCCTCAATTTCTCTACTCCAGCAAAGGAAGTCAACATCCCTGGGGGGGGAGTGTATCACAAATATACAGACTCAATGATAAATATCCACTAAAGTTGTCTTAGATCAGCGGTTCTCAGCCTGTGGGTCACGACCCCTTTTGGGGGTTCAACGACCCTTTCACAGGGGTTGCCTAAGACCATTGGAAAACATATATACTTACATATTGTTTTTGTGATTAATCACTATGCTTTATGTTCAATTTGTAACAATGAAATTGGGGGTCACCACAACATGAGGAACTGTATTAAAGGGTCGTGGCATTAGGAAGGTTGAGAACCACTGTCTTAGATCGTCATGGAAAATTAGCCAGACATCCCAGGGAAGCGAATGGCCTGAGTCTGGAAGTGACCTAAGAATGATCTTTGGGGCAAGACTGTTAGGGAGTTAGAGGTTAGAGAAAAATGCAAGTATTTGAAAGGGTATCCCCTTACCTGTTTGCTTCGGTTAATGGCCAGGCATGACCAAGAGATTCCAAACTGGAAGACGAAGACCAAACCAAGGATGATCATGTACTGAGAGGAAGAGTTATGGGGAAAAAGTCCTAGATTCCTTTATGGTCCACCTCTAACAATCATCTGATCTCATCTATTCATAGAACTTATACAACCATGCCAGTTGAAAGCAATAAAATCATCAGCCCCGGTTTCACAGAGCAGAGCAAAGAGACATGTCCCCCCAAATCCCTGAGGTCTAGTTTCTTCCTAGCCCATTCAGCCCTCCCAAGAGTTCTACAGTGCCCATCACTTTGGGTCAGGATACAAAGAACAGCAGTACTTGGTGGTGGTTAATGGCACCCACCAGTCCAGCTACTGCGATGAGCAGGAGGAAGACCCCCACAGCAATGACTCCTCCGATGATGTGGATGCTGGACACCAGACCCAGGCCCTTTCCCCAAGCAGCCACTCCGATGAGCAATAAGCCTACCAGCTAGGGGAAACAGAAAGCAGGATACACGTCAGAAATCTAGCGTGCAGCACAGCCAGAGGCCTTACAGGGCACCCGGGACTACAAGGAGAGGAGGTGCTGTGGGAATCTGTAACATCCCTGGGCGCTCCTTCCCTGGGAGGTCAGAATGTCTGGGAGGGGGCGGGGGTAATCTATGAATATAAAAACCGAACCTTTAGCTTCATCCATCACTTCTATTTTGGGAGAAACTAAAGTTCACAAAAAGGAGGGAGAGGCCTTTGTTCCCACAACCCCTAGTTCATTCCCCCCACCCCCAAACAAACCCTCCGATCACCGGAAGTCTCCCCTCTACCCACGGAAGTCCCCAGGAATTCCCTCTTCGCCGGAAGTTCCTGGGAATCTTCCTGGAACACCCAGGACACCCCTCTACCCACCGGAAGTCCCCTGAATAATCTCCCCACTCGCCTCTCCGCCTTGAAGCTTTCCCCACCTCCAAAACCTCACCATGTAGACCACGTTGAGCGCGCACAGGGCATTCTTGGAGCAGGCAAAGCCACCGCAAACCATCTCCCCAGCTTTGGGGACCCAAGTGGTCCCAAGGACTTAGGGAGAGGGTCTTAGGGGCAGTCTTCCCGGACCCCGACAGCTTCTGTCTCTTTAAATCTAGTCCACCTAAACCCAGCTCTCTGCGCCTGCACCGCCCCACCCCTGCCTCTGGATTGGAGAAACTCCGGGCTAAAACGGGACGTCGACGGCCTGAATGCCAATCAACCTGCGTTGCGTTACTGACCCGCCTCCCGGCCCCTCCTTTAGGTTCTTTATAGAGTGAAACTTAAGAGTGGAGGCAGGGCTTGCAGAGAGTCTCCTGGAGATCGGAGCCTGAACTTGGAAACCCCGGAATGAAAGTGAAGCTTTCCTTCGTCGCAGTCGGAAGAGGCTAATCCCGGAGAGGAGGCTTTGGAGAAACTCCGGCGAAGAGAGAGAAGACAGGGCTGCCGGGGCTAGGCGAAAGGGCTCCTCCCTTGTCCTGCGGTGACCTCATGATGATGCCATTGTTTGTTGTTATTGCATCACACTCGGAACACCCAGAGGAGCAAAATATTGAGTTGTTTAGCCCAACCACAGAGGTCCCGGTTTGGGCACAGCAACACCCAGCAAACCCTTACACATTTGCAAGCATGTCCACTAGTACACATGTCCTGTTCCATATCCCTCCCTAACGGGTGTGAATATACTCGACATTAAATGTGTAAAACAGCAGCCTTGGTCAGTGCATTACTGTATGTGACAAAACCACAGACATGGGTGTGCCTGATGCCTTCAGAGCACATGCCTGGTCCAGAGCTTGCAAAAAATGACGAAGGGAGGGGTCTGGAATATGAATAAATTGGAGAGTAAGGAACAGTCACACATTTTCACTCTGGGGGGGGGGCACAGTGGATGGTTGGTCAACATGTTTATTACAGAACAAGTGCTTGGACACGCTGCCATTTTATGGGAATGGGAAAAGAGGAAGAAGCAGTCTTAGAAGGAATACAAATGAAAAACCTCCTTTCAACCCCACAGAACGATTCAAGTATGTGTGTACTTGGATTCAATGACTGCAGAAGCAGTATATGGTCTTATTGCCAGCAGACTGCATGGTTCCAATTTCCCAGCCACTGTGTAATCTTTGGACAGTTAGTTAAGCTTTCTGTGCCTGTTTCCTCATCTGTGAAATGGGGATAAATAACAATACACCTACCTCTTGAGTTGTTGTGAGGACTGAATGAGTTAATATATGTAAAATACTTGGAACACTACCTGACACATAGTAAATACTAAGTGTAAGTTATTTTTTTTAAAAAAATATTTTATTGATTTTAGAGAGGAAGGGAGAGGGAGAGAGAGACAAAAATATCAATGATGAGAGAGAATCATTGATTGGCTGCCTTCTGCACGCCCCCTACTGGGGATGGAGCCAGCAACCCAGGCATGTGCCCTTGGCTGGAATCCAACCTGGGACCCTTCAGTCCGCAGACTGATGCTCTATCCATTGAGCCAAACCAGCTAGGGCTAAGTGTAAGTTATTGTTCAGACAATTTTATAGGTTCCAGTGGGTAATCTCAACCTCAGTTTCCTTATCTCCAGCTCCAGAAATATTCATATATTTACAATCCCCTACCTTTTATAAATTGATATCATGAAGATATGCAGAAGAACAGACATTTGGCAGGGCCAGAAAAGTTGGAGTCTTGAAACAAAGTAATTAGATCAAACCATCCACCATTTCTCCCCTCATCCTCCCTGCATCTTTGTTCTGTTCTTGAATTCCGCATCTAGCCTCTTCTTTTCCTGATCCTAAATCAAGAGCAAGACAATGGCACTAGGGTTAAGGGGGACTGGTTGGCAAGCAGCCAACCAATTGGTGTGGTGAAAGGGTATCAGAATTAGAGGACCTAGAGCAGGAGTGGGCAAACTTTTTGACTCGAGGGCCACAATGGGTTCTTAAACTGGACCGGAGGGCCGGAACAAAAGCATGGATGGAGTGTTTGTGTGAACTAATATAAATTCAAAGTAAACATCATTACATAAAAGGGTACGGTCTTTTTTTTTTTTTAGTTTTATTCATTTCAAACGGGCCGGATCCGGCCCGCGGGCCGTAGTTTGCCCACGGCTGACCTAGAGCCATCATTTTGTTTCACTTTCTATTGGCCTCTCTGAGCTTCAGTTTTCTTTGCTGAATAATAATCCTACCCCTTGGGCCTGTCATGAAGATGATATATAGGAAGGTGTGTTGTTAACTATTGTGTTATAGACAAGTTAATTATTAAGGAAATAATTGAACATGGAGCACGGTGGTTTTGCCTGGTTATAGGTTACTGTCCTTCTCCATAACCTATTCTCCCCATAACTGCTTGACCCCTTGACCCTTTTAACCAGGAGGTGGTTGCAGTGGGGTACCTGGCTGAGGAAGGGTTACATTGCAAGAGGTAAGGATGTAAGCTCTTTAGATGTGTAGAGTGGGTGGTGATTACAACTATAAACTGGAATGCAGGGCTCTAAGAGTGACAGGCCAAGTGTGTATGGATTCCTGCAAGCTTGAGACTGAACACAAATCTGTAGGTCACCAAGAGTTTAGGATTGCACCTGGGACCTGGCTTGCCACATTCTCCCAGCACCAACACCCATCTTAATTAGCCACCTCCCACAGGAGGCCCTAGGATGCTTGGATGCTTATTAAGGTTTCTCCATCCACCTGACAGAGGAATCTTAGCAGAGGCTGGCTGGCAGAGCTGATGGGCCAACACTAGAGGGAGTGGGAGGTGCAGGAGGTAGTGCTGACCCAGGCTGTGGGTTTGAAACTCACCAGTCAGGAAGTGAGGCAGACAGACGGAAGGGCGGGCAGGGGCGGGGAGTCCTGAGGCACAGCAGAAGGGGCCTGCTGGAGTTTGGGGGCTGGGGGGCCATGGGCTTCAGGGCCAGAGGTTGCTGTTAGCCTGGCAAGGCAGGTTTGGGTAACATGCACGCCCAAAGGCAGCTGGCTATAGCTGCAGTGAGAGCAGAAGTCAAACGACATGAGGTAGCCAAGCAGGCTCTAAGCCGCCTCAGGAAACTGACAGAGAGAGTGGGTGACTCGGAACTTCGTGACAGCATCCGGGCCTCACTGAACAGCATACAAGGTAAGAGAAGGGTTAGCTCCCAACTTGGGGGTATCGGGGACCAGAAGGGGCATAGAAGGGTTTACTGGGTCATACATCATTTCCCAGTAAACCACTTCCTAGTAGTCCCCAAGGTGGAGCTGGGATTTAGGGGAAGAATACATTTGGAAAAGATGAAAAAGGACATGGGAGGTGTCATTCTTCCTCTTCCTTCAACTCTGAACCTTCTCCTAGGGCAGCGGTTCTCAACCTGTGGGTCGTGACCCCTTTGGCGGTCAAACGACCCTTTCACAGGGGTCGCCTAAGACCATCCTGCATATCAGATATTTCCATTACGATTCATAACAGTAGCAACATTACGGTTATGAAGTAGCAACGAAAATAATTTTATGGTTGGGTCACAACATGAGGAACTGTATTTAAAGGGCCAAAAGGTTGAGAACCACTGTCCTAGGGGATCAAAGTACAGGTCACTGCTGAGCTGACCTTCTTGGAAAGGGAGAAGTGGGTGAGCATGGGGTAGGCTTGGACCCTGCCTGGGGAATCCGGGGCAGGAAGCAGTCTGGGGCAGGAGGTTCTGGGACTGGATAATGTGTTCATTCCCAGGACCCACGAGGGATCAGTGACCTCTTGTTCTCCAGCTGTACAGAGAAACACACACACAAATGCGTACACACATTAAAATGACCATACAGAGAATCTCAGGTTCCCAGGCACACACGAACATTCACCACGCAGCATGCTCTGCACAGCCGAAGTGCAGAGAGAATCTCAGGTTCCCAGGCACACACGAACATTCACGCAGCATGCTCTGCACAGCCGAAGTGCAAAGAAGTCCCCCAGGACTCTTCTTGGTCCCCTCTCTTCCCCATGCTCCTGTTCCTGTCTTCCCCCCACACACCTTCCGCTCTACCTTCTTAGTGCCATTAGCACAAGTGATGACAATACAGGAAGGAAGTGCTGCCATGGCAACACCATCCGCCACATCCTCCTGCCCACCCCAGCTTCAACGAAGTGGTGGGGCCCTGGCAGGAAGGGCTCATCCATCCATGAGGCACCACCACTAAGGAGCTGATGGAACTGGAGGTCTCCCCGGACTGTTCTCCTCTCATTACCTCTGAGGTGGCAGAGAGCTAACAAAAGCAGGCTCCTTTGCTCATGAAAGGTGTCTGGGAGAAGCACATCCTCCATATCCTGGTCTCTTCCAGCCTCTCCATTTTTAGCCGCCTACTTGGGGGTGGCAGATGGGGGCAGTAAAGAAGACCTCCTGCCAGATCTCTCTGATGGGAAAGGCCACCAGAGCCCAGCTTTGGGAAGGAACAGTTTGGTTCGGGTTCCTAAGGGAACAGTCTGATAACACCCTCCCTATCCTGTCCCCCACCCTTTGCCAAGAACTACAGCTGACACCTTCCCTACAGCATTCATTGTTGGAAAGGCAGACCTAGGGGGAGTGGCCCCATGGGGCCTCCTAGGGAGGAACTCCAAGCCCCATTCCTGTAGGAAAAAAGGGGGGAGAGGACATGTCTAGGGCAGGTAGAGGCCTCTGCTCAGCTCTGGAGAAGGAGGGAGTGAGGAGGGGGTAGAGGCTGGAACCTCTGAGAAGACTCCACTCTTCCTAAGTGATTTGTTCCACTCTCCCCAGGAGTCAGGATTCTGTTCCCTTTGAATATAAGGAAAACTGAGGCCACCGATGGAAGGAGGAAAAAAATTAAGCCAGAATCAACAAATCTCCTTCACTCTCTTCTAGAAAAGACTACTGAGGGGTCTCCTGTCCTAGGGATGGTGTCATCTTGACGCTGCAAGGGCGGGGTGGGGGGAGGCTGCTGATGGATCTCGGGGCAGGCCCGCGGAGGGATTGGGTACAGGTCTAGGGGGAAACAAAGGGTATCCAGCATCCCGTTACCGCCCCCCACCCTCCACCCCTACCAGGCCGCGCACGCCACGGGCTCTTGCCTCCAAGAGCCGCCCACGACAGCACTATTATAGTCTCGGCTGCGTCAGGAGGATGGGACGCCAAATTAGGGGAACGCTGAGACTCCCCGAGCCCAGGGGTGGGTTCTCCAAGGCTGGCGGGAGGCCTCACCTGACTCCCGCCCCAGCCTGGTGGTGGCGGGGTCTCCATCTCGGTTCCCCATGGGCCTAACCCCTGGATCCTTCTTCCCCGGCTTGAGGGCAGTGCGCCTTGCACTGCAGGGTCCCTAGAGAGTGGGAGCTACAAGAACTGAGGGGCTCCTTATATTCGGGGGCACTAAATAACCCACATGTGGGTAACTAGTTGTGAGGTTGGTGCCTCCATGAACCCCAAATCACATGGCGCCCCTCCCCTCACACACACACACACACACACACACACACACCACCATGTATGCGGATCCCTCCTCTCGGCTTATCCCCGCTGTTTCTGAGGCACTCTTGGAGCTGGGGTTGCTATGGAGACGGGATGCATTTTAGCATGGGGGGGGGGTGTCAATCTGTGGACATATTCCTTCTCCTTCCACCTCCAGCTGCAGCCTTTGACTCACATTTCGGCCTGGGCTGTTCCGAGCCCCCAGGTCTCTCCCTGCAGGAGGCACCCTCCCCTCCTTCCTATCCTGCTAAGTTCCATGTTTGTCCGCGTCCCCAGGGAGCACTTTTCAAGTTCACTTTGGGACAGTTGTGTTCCAAACGTGGCCTCGTGGATGTATTGCCTGAGTGGGGGTGGAGGTGGGCGAGAGGGCCGGGTGATGGGGAAGGAGCACATGCAAGTGCCCGGGGGAGACCAGGGGTCCTGGGAAAGGCATTTCCGAGTTCTCCGCTTTTCTGCATCAGCTTCCCCAGAACGTCCTCCGTTTCCGCCGTGGCCTGTTCACGCGTAGACTGACTCTTACCCTAGTCCTTAAATGCCGCACCCCACAGTCGCGCTCCCTGACTGTGCTGCGCTGGGGAGGGGGCTCGAGTGTTGGAGTAGGTGAGTCCCAGTTCCAGGGAATCCAGCCCAGGGTTTGGGAGGGAAATCCAGTCCTGGATTTTGCACCGCCTTCGCAGACAGCCGTGCTGGTAGAGAGAAGGTGGGGGAGCGATGGGGGGGTGGGGGCTGCCTCCTCCTCAATGTGAGGGGAGCGCCCGGACACAGCGCGCATCCGGACCGAGCCGAGCCCC